TATATATATTGCATTTATTTAACTACTAATCCAAAGTACAATTTAATTACTAAATTCGAATTATCATTTAACTCTTTTTTTTTCTAGACCATTTGAAATTCTAATACGTAACATATGGAACTACGTCATTTAAACCAATCATTATACTTAATATATCATTGTTTTAACACATTCCTGATATTCTCAGCATGAGATTAGTATTACCACACTGTTATCCCAACATGTCACTGGAGGTACCATACTGTGATCCCAGTATAGTACTTAAATTACCACACTATGATCCCAGCATAAGGCTAGAATTACCTCACTGTGATCCCAGCATGATACTTAAATTATCACATCTTGATCCCAACCCTGAGACTACAATTACCACAACTTAATCCTAGTATAACACTTTAATTACCACACAATTATATCAATATGAGACTAAAATTACCACACTCTGCATATTTATCACATTTATTTAACTATTTGGTAAATTAAATCATTTCATATCCTGTATATATAGAAATAAGTCGGAATCTCTAGTTTATGGCTTATGGTAAGATTAACTGAATCAAATGTTGATAACTAGGAAAGTGTTTGTAATGTATGGTAAGATTAACTGAATCAAATGTTGATAACTAGGAAAGTGCTTGTATTATATGGTAAGATTAACTGAATCAAATGTTGATAACTAGGAAAGTGCTTGTATTGTATGGTAAGATTAACTGAATCAAATGTTGATAACTAGGAAAGTGCTTGTAATGTATAATACGTGACATTTATGTGAAGATATTTTTATAGGTGAGTATTTGTGGCAATATTGGAAAATCCTAGTTAAAATATAATGTTTTAATATAACACCAAATAACGTAAGATACAGAAATACACTTGACATTTTACAATGTTGGGATTTAATTTACAATGATCTTTATTTAAACTGTTTATTCTTCAACGTTTACGTTCATGCTTTGGATATTAATATTATTGTTATAACTAAATTGTAAGTAAATTCACAAAAATTTTAAGACGAAATACAAACCGTATAGAGAAAGTCTTCTTCAAGAAATATTAGACATATATATATATATATATATGTTTGTTTCTTTTTTTTTTATTAATACGTCTTTCCTGTTAGAGGATATTCAATGGGAATAAACATGCTGTTTTTTTCATTTTTGGGGTCTTCTTTTCATATACTAAATTGATTATAGTTAAAATGATTACTTATTTACAATATATTGTATTATCTAGTGCGTGAATGAAATTTAATTGAACTTAATACAAAATTTCGTCAAAGATAGTACTCTTTTAAGAGTGAGATTCATTAGTAAAATTAAACAACGGAAAATATAGATAAAAATGCTTTCTACACTCTTACTAAATGGATTTATTTTACAAAGTTTCGGCTTTTTTCTTTGTCTGAAGTTGACATTTTGAAAATAAATTCATTTAGTAAGGGTGTAGAAAGCATTTTTATCTACCTCTGCTTTGTTGTTGGTCCGGCGTGGCCAAGTTGTTAGGGCATTCAACTTGCAATCTGAGGGTCGCGGGTTCGAATCCCCATCCCACCAAACATGCTCGTTCTTTTAACCGTAGGGGCGTTATAATGTGACTATTCGTTGGTAAAAGAATAGCCCAAGAGTTGGCGGTGATAAGTAGCTGCCTTCTTACACTGCTAAATTAGGAACGGTAACGCAGATATCCCTCGTGTATCTTTACGCGAAATTCAAACCAAACTTTTCGTTGTTTAATTTTATTAATGAGTAAAACATATACAGTTACATTCCTACTACGCATAGTAAAAATCCTAATCGCTATTGATTTGTGTAATAAGAGGACCAGTCAGACATAGTTTTGTGATCGATTTAGTCTAATAAAAGTAACTTTCATAATACTTGCAGTAGTGGAGAACCAAGTTTGACACAAATTTATGAATCAGCAATGACAAGTTTTTCTCAGCTCAAGTGAATGTTTAACTGCCGAGATTTTTAACCTATGTAGATAGTTTTTTGGTTTTTTTCGTTCTCAAGCAAAGTTACACAAATAGCTATCTGCACGTACTTGTCCCTAATTTTGAGCAGAAAAACTATAGGGAAAGCACCTAGTCAATAGCACCCACCGCTAACTCTTGGACTACCCTAGTCTGACTGAACAATGGAATTTGACTGCCACTCCTATAGCGTACCCATGGCCTAAAATGCCAAGCGTATTTCTGCGAAAACAAATCGCAAATCAGGAACCCTCTGATTCACAGTACAGACACGTTAACTATGGGTCACACCAACAGAACAGACACGTTAACTATGGGTCACACCAACAGTACAGACACGTTAACTATGGGTCACACCAGTACCTTTCGAAGTAGGATTAGTGAGCAATGGGGATAAACCACTTATCAAAAGTTTTCAGTTTGCAAGTTTATAAATCTGCTATACAAGATATCCTACCTTTGGAAGGAATACCTGTACCGCTTGTCATCCACTGGAACGAAGTCCATCATCATCATATATTCTGTCAGAGCGTCCATACCGTATACACGCACTTGAAAGGACGGGAACATTCGTCTGAATGAGCACCAAAAAAATTCACTTAACATATGGGAAATTCGCAGAGCACCATGAATGACACTAGTGTTTGTAAACTAGATCTTCAAAAAAAACAATAAAAAACATTTAATATTATTAAAGAAAAGTAGGATTCTAGATGTAATTTGAATTGTGCACGTTAAATATAATGACGCTTGAAAGGGAGATCAACCTGAATAACAAAAGAGAACACATTTGATATGAATAAATTTCTGTCTGTCATATAAATTATATTGATGCTTGAAGGAGATTGTGCTTGATTCAACAAAAACCAACCTGAGCAAATCCAAATATCATTATCTATAGTGACATTCCAAAGAAATTGTAATTCAAAAGAAAACAACCTAAGCAAAAGAAAAAAATCTTTTAGTATTATTAGAACAACGTTTGTAATTTATAATCATGTTTGAAAGATGGTCGTTCAAAAAAAAAGATATGATATTATGAAAAATATGTCTGGTATGTATCTTGGTGTTTGAGAGAGAAAAACTGGGATTTCAGATAAACCAACCTGAACAAGCAAAATCAATTGATGTGACTAGGCGTTTATGATTTATACTGATTTTTGAGAGAGATTGAGATTATTGGTTGTATATTGTATACAATGTCTAACACCTAGCCTAAACCTTGAACTATTCATTTCTTTGGGCATTATGGCGGTATTATATCTTAATAAATGGCAAAATACTTATTTTAATCTTAAGGCTTTTCTCGCTTAAATATACTTTAAAGTTTTGTAGTCTCTTGTTGATCTATGCCCAAAATGCAAGCCCTGGTGGTTTATTTGGTGTAAGTATGACCTCAGACAAATTTGATATGTGATAAGTTTTATTTTTCCCTTTAAACTTTTGGTATTTCAATGAAATCGTTTGTATAAAATCTTCTTCAACTTTTCATCTGTAAATTTACAAGAGATATCACAGATTTAATTTCACATTTTGATAACCACATCAAGAAGAAAACAGCGATGACTTTTCAATGCAAGTTTTAAACATGTTTTTATAATTTGGATATATATATATATACTCTAAACTGTTTAAAATTCTATTATCTTCAGATAACGGTTTTCGTAGGCTTGACTACTCGTCGATTCTACTTATTTTCACCTTCTATATATAGGTGAGCTTATGGTTGGCATATCACATCACAACCTTTCTGAAAAGAAACATTCATATAGCGAGTTACTTTTAAACGAAGTAAAACCAAGAGACACGATATTTTAAAGAAGTAAGTCTTTAATGTTTTTAATGGGAGCAGAAATTCTTACACAGCAGAGATTTTAGGACAAAATGGGCTCCGGAACTGGATCCCAGTCCAATCCACAACAACGCCTTCATTATCAAAACGAAGGATATGGCCACGAAAGACAACTCTCCAACCCAAAACTTTATTATAATAAAACTGGGCATACTCCCGGTAACATTAGTAACTAGATAATGAATAACAATGTGAAACTGGCGAAGGCTCACAATGCAAACGATTACAAGCTTTTATCTTCATCTCGAAATCAATGGTTGTTTTCGTAATAAAAGCAGATGAAGAAAGAAAAAAATCACAACAATTTCATTCGATCACATGCACATCAAGTCCTCTGATGAAGCTTTTTTTGCCTGCTATCTGCTTAGCAATGGTATTGGAAACTGACATCCACGTGAGGGGTAAGTCACTGAAAAGTTTATCAAATGTGTGGTCTAAGACTGATGAAGCTTTTTTTCCTGTTATCTGCTTAGCAGTGGTATTGGAAACTGACATCCACGTGAGGGGTAAGTCACTGAAAAGTTTATCAAATGTGTGGACTAAGACTGATGAAGCTTTTTTTCCTGTTATCTGCTTAGCAATGGTATTGGAAACTGACATCCACGTGAGGGGTAAGTCACTGAAAAGTTTATCAAATCTGTGGACTTAGACTGACCTAATCGTCCTTTGCAGAAGCTTTTTACAATAGAAACTGGAGTGTCAAGAAATTTTGGGTCACCAGAAGCGTCAGACTAGACACGATCAACAATGGGGGAAATAGTTCAAGGTCAGCACGGGACCCGGAACATCGCTCTTATAAAATGTCACTAATTTTATTATAATACATCAGTAAACAACGACATAAATGGTTTAATAGCTTTAGTATTTTAATTGTCTTACACCGTAATGAAGATTAATAAGCTCTCTTGCGTGTGTGTTCATTTTTGTAATATTTACTATTACTGAATTCAAATAACATAAAATTGAACCCTTCTCTAATGTGATAAATGTTGATTGCAATCATTAACTCGTGGCAAAACTGGTTTTACAGTTTAAATTACGGGAAAAAATCCAGTACAGATTGTGCTGCATAATATGTAATTCCTTTTCTATTAAATATTTCACAACAGCAAATGTCATCTATTTTTGAGTAAAACCCAATAAGAACTGGGTGGTAGAAAAGAGGTTAACTTATATCATCTACATTTTTCTCGTGGCAGGAAAGGAGCAGGGCAGTCTCCTACGATAGAATGAAAAATCCGCTATACCTATCCGACTGTGAGAACTAATAATTGAAGAACAACGATAGTGAATAGTTGAAGCACATTAGTCTGGCACAATGTTTGGTTTTAAGAGAGGAAATGCTCCTGAAAAAAGAATGAAATAAAAACAGCAGTGATCACTTCTGAATACAGTTTGACAGATTTGCGTTGATTAGTGTGTTTTCAAATTAAGCCTTATAATCTAACCTATATAAAGAAGAAGAAGAAAAAGAAAGAAAGAAAAGGGGGTGGGGGGAAACACGTGTGTCACGTCACGCTTGATTTCTCGAAATAGGAGGAGT